GCTTCAGTATGCCTTACAATATCATTTGTGGTTAGTCAAATGTTTAAACGTTAAATATGTATGGCATAATTTCTGTTCCACTTGCGTCACAAACTGCAATTGCAAAAATAAGAGGTGAATTTAATTTAAATTCTTTTTCAACATTGTTTTCAGGCAAATCAGACTTATTATAAAGTGCATTTAAATTAAACATTATTTATAGCATATTTTGCTGTTAACAAAGAATCTGCTTGTTGTCAGACTGGTTTCTCCTCAAATACTTAACTGCCATTGGTCAAAAACAGATAGCCCCACCCCAAACTCATTGGTTGAAATAATGTTACTATGTCAGGTTGGTTGGGGTGCTAAATAAACAGAGCAATGTTTTAATAACAAAGCCACAGTTTTACACTGTTTTTCATGGGAAATCAACCTACAAATGATTTGCCTATAGTCCCTCCGCAAACTAAACTAAAACTAAAACTAAAATAAATTTTAAATTAAATAAAATAAAAAAATTGCATATATCAAGTTTTCTGTTTCTGTTAAAAAAGATCGGTTACAAATAAATAAATATGTAAAATATTTGATGAAAATGAAAATTCTGTCATCATTGACACCTTCATGTAATTCCAAACCTTTATGGCTTTCTTTATTCTACATAAATGAAGGAATATATTCTGAAGCATGCTGGGGTCCAAACAATAATGGACATCACTGACTTTCATTGTACGTATAATTTTTAATTGAACCATCCCTTTAAAAGATAAAATAATAGGCCTAATTAATGAAAGATTATGTCGTCATAACTTTTTGCCAGTGAAATGCTAAGTGAATTTCAGCAATTTGCACGTTTCTGTAAACTTCATGCTGTTTCTCATTTACACAAAAAATACAGTAGAACATAAACGTAGCCAAGCAGTTTTTTTCAGTCTAAAGAGAAAAAAAATGTCAGTAAACATTGATATGGTTGAGTAATATGCGCAGATTTTATGTTATGCATTTAAATCATCTCAACAGAGAGGTGAAAACAATTTTCACCCTCACAGACTCTCTTACTAACACGGAAATAGACAAGAATGTGATCCGTATCGCACAGGGCTTTAAATATTCTCTAGGTATCTCAGGACGCATGACTGTTATTCTAAAAAGAAGGGAAGGTTAAATTTTTCTCATTTCACATGTTGGCAGTGCCGCAAATGTAGCAGACCACATACTGGGTGGCATTCAAAAGAATTGACATTAGCTTTTCTGCGCAACACATGTCCATGTTACTTTAAAATCTATTTCAGAGCTCTCTGCTCATTTGTCAGTGTATCATTTATGGTGAAAAGGTGTTTTAAAGGTAAGAAAAGTTTTTTTTTTTTCATTTCAAAAACATTTTTCCCTGTATTTGACGAAACCTACAATCTAGTTCACCATGAAATCACCTAAAAAGCTTTTCTACTGTATGTCAGCGAATGTGGATGACGTGTAATAATATTCCACAGCTCTGCATAGTCATTATCTTTTCACTTAAAATGAAATTAAAGCTTTAAAATAAGAAACGTTTGCTTAAAAGAAATTAAATACAGCCCCCTGCTCGTACATTACATAGTTCCTGCAGAATTTAACAAATAACTAATTAAATACTTAATTGATACATTTTTATTTTCACACCTTTTTTCAAGTGAGATTCAGCAACAGTTTTTGGAAAAAGCTGACCTTTGACCATCAACTCTAACTTTAATTCTGCAGACCTTATAATGAACTAAATTGGTTTATTTATAAGCTAATTTGTCCTTTAAAGTAACCAAGTAATTGCTTTTAAAAGTTGCTTAAGTGTGCAGAAGGAATGGCCAAGAGGTGGCAAGCCAATTAAGATAAAACCAGTTTTCAGAAAACGCAGCATTAGTACTGTACATTTAAACAAAATAATATATCAGGATGTACAGGCCAAATGTACACGCATAACCAATAGCAAACTGTTCCGGCAGACAGAGACGGGTGAATCTGCGGCCTTCATAATAATCTTCTCTGCTTTAATGAGAGTCCCCCAGCGTTCAGTCGAGGTCTGGTCTACTGGCTCTCTTAATAAGGGCTTTATTTCTTATGGAGTGCATCATTTCCCATGAGCGACCAGCAAGAGGAAAGACGGCCAGAGGTTTACCTGACAGCTACATTAATACCCGCTTTGTGTTATTAAAGGGAGGGCGATCATTTAAATGAGAAAGCTGAAATGATCTTCTGCTCATGCTCTGAATGATGCAGAGAAAATCAATACGGACTGGTAAATCAATACTCTGATAACTCACACTGGTTGGCAATACAGTTACATTAGTGAAAATTATGGCAGACGGTTTGGTTACGAGGCTGATGAAGAATCTGCACGTCTCTTGATGCATTTGTACATTTTTTCAGCTGCATAACGAAATAAATTTGTGCCATATTTACAATATGTTACACTGAAGCCTTAGGAAAGCCATTTTATCGTGTGCAAAAGAGGAACAGGCTGTAACAGAAAGCGAGGGAGCGATAGAAACCTGTCCCCCGTCACTCGTAAGAGGCTCTGTGCCGGCCTGTTTCATCAGAGGCCCTGTTCCAGAGCCGAACGCTGATTAAAATAGTTCTGAAAGAAAGCCCAGGAGGCATTTTACGCTTCCATTTACAGAACTTAATTCTCTTTGATGATAAAAATCTAATGTAACCTTTTTAATTTGTCAGTGTAGGAATGAGAGACGTGGGGGCCCAGACTCCCCCCTTCACACATCGACTCCTTGTGCATTTCCTATGCTGCGGAATAGCACCAATGTCAAGGTGAGAAATGTGAAGCAATTCATGTCTCCCTAAAGCAACGAAAGCCATTATGCAAAAAAACATACCTAGAACCCTGTGTTTCGTAGTTAAATGTGCCAGCCTGCCTATTTGTTTCCGGCGGCATGATATTTTTCAGAGTTTTAAGTTGCACGTTGAGGCCTGGAGCTAGCGATGCAAACCTATACAGTTTGAGGAGCAGACTAATTTCGTACTCTTTAAAAATGCAATACACCATTTCAGGTTCAGAATCAAGTAGCATAGGGAGCCCTCAACTCTGACCATAAAGAAACTAATTGAGTTTCTACAAGGTTCAGTACACCCTCTACTATAACAATTTCCTAAGTTATGGAACCAGAAAATCCTACATTTTCAATAATATCTTTATAAATTATACATGGAAACCTTTGCAAGCTTTTGCGTGAAATATTTGGTGGAGCTACAAAGATGTACAAAACACTGGTCACAAAAAATATATATACTTAGCATGTTAAAATTATAGAATGGGATCCAAAAGTCTGAGATCACATGTGAAAATGCTTCCATTAATCGTTGTAATTCAATGCAAATGTTTTTATTATTAAATATTTTATCGGTATAACAATTTGAAAAAACGGAATTAAAATATTTCAAAATGTTATACACACAATATAACTGTATGCACAATATAACTGTATGATTGATCTAATAAATCCAACCGCAGTAAGCATAAGAAATTTCTTTCAAAAACATCAACAAATCTTACTGACAGCAAACTTTTGAATGCTAGTGAACTTTAAAATCTTATTCATTTTACATCAAAATTCTGTTTACATTTTTTATTTCCAGGATATTTTTTTTTTTTTTATCCCAGATTTTTAATATGGCCTAACATTGTTCAACCCCACTGTACATATAATGTTCTATAAGACAAATCAACAGTCATTTTTATGCCATATAATTCCATACTGATCCAAGAGTAATGTGAAAAAAATGGCACCTGCTCTCACAATTCTGCAGCAGTTCACTTTCCCTGCCCTCTGTAAACGTCTAACATTTACCTAGACTACTCCGGGACCTTTGTTCTTTCAGACTCTGAAGAACTGGCCTGCTTTTCACTCTTTACAGAATACGCTCTATATATCCGTGTCACACCCTGCACTGATTGGCTCATGCTGCACTGTGTAGCAACCCTGATCTAAACTCCGCTTAGATGACCTTTCGCAGGAATCCCCTCCAGATTCCTTTAGATCGTAGACCAGTTCACTCTCCACACAAAAATCCATCCTGCTCTAGCGATTAAATTACAGAAAATCAGATATTCATGATGGGATGTGTAGTCAGATAATCCCATAATGTCGGAATTGTGATTTTATTGGGGGCCGAGTGTGTATTTAGAGAAAACCACATTATAATGGAGTCTGCAAGGTTATTCTGAATTGAGTTACGAATTCTACACCATCCTTGACAAAATAAAACCAGACAGTCATACATTAAGTCTGCGTAGCATAATAATAAAAAAAGCAGCTTTAAAACAAAACAAGACTTCAATGTTCTCTCTCCATTTGATCGAGTCAATTTTATCATTGCGGAGCTATTAAATAAAACACAGGGTGGATTATTAACGTGTTCAAGCTTCTATCAAAACATATTGCATGTATTTGTTTTGTACTGTATGTTCAAATAAAATTGCATATGAAGTCACTACATCTTTCCTCATAAAACTAACTCGGAGGAGACTAGCTGGAGAGCCGCAGATTCAATGGGAGAGAAACAAGGAAAATCAATTTGAAGTCGCTGTGCTCTTTCACAATGCCGGCGGAGCTCATGAGTGGTTGTCTGTCAGGCAAAATTACATCCATCCCCAGACTTATGCATGTCATTTATGGAAATGGAAGAGACATTCCCTCATAGACGACGCAGCACACTTATGCATGTGAATACATCCATTAAGCAAAGTCACAATTTCAATATGAAGAGCAAAACCAGTAGAGCTCACAATAAGGAGGCCTGTTTAAGTGAGAGGAAGAAAACCATTAACATTCTATAACGAGAGGAGGTTTCCATTACAATTTCACACCTTCAAAGAAACACTAAGACTCTCTCGCTCTGTTTCTCTCTGTCTCGCACAAACACGCATGCAGAGATGTGCTCTTTGAGTTATTGGTGGAGGAATTTCTCTTTTCGATCTCTCAGAAGTCCGAATGAGGAGTTTGATTATGCCATTTGTTTTAATATTCCTCACGAACAGCTTCTCAGACTGACATATAGACTTTCCGCCACCTCCATCACATCTGCGTTCAGCACACTGTCTCGACCAGTACTGACAGGCATCTGAGAACAGTGCTGGTGGCTGGAAAATAATGACCTGTACTATTTTGGTGATGATTTGAGTTCTGCTATTCACAGGTATGAGACATCCCACATTTGCATGCAATTAGATGGCCTAGACTATCCACTACCATTCACACTTTTTTAAGGGAACGCTGATAATTAGAGGGATAATTATTTTGGCCACATAAATCTGAATAGTCATTCAGGAATTTGGAGTTATGAACATTCAAGTATTGAAACAATGAATCATATTTTCAACATCCAATAAACGCTGCCTCATATCACGCACGCACGTCAGCGAGACGTCTATTCGGCGTGTGTTTTCAGCTGGAAAATTTAATTTTTCGAGTGTTTGCACATCTGTGATACATTGCTATACTGTACAATTTCCTGTCAGATGTTAGAATGACATTCAGCTGTTTTCACATTTAAAGAAATAACTGAAAGTTCTGTCATCATTTACTCACCCACATGCTGTCCCAAACCTGTTTTTTTTTTTTTTTTAGTGAAATATAAAAGCTGTGGAAGCCCGTTTCCGCCACTGAAAAAAAAAAAGGTAATTGGGACTTTTTATCTCACGATTCTGACTTTTGTTCACAGAATTGTGAGATATAAACTCGCAATTGCGGGTTATAAAGTCAGAATTGCGAGATATAAAGTCAGAATTCTGACTTTTTTTCTCAGAATTGTGAGATATAAACTCGCAATTGCGAGTTATAAAGTCAGAATTGCGTGATATAAACTCACAATTCTGACTTCATAACTCGCAATTGCGAGTTTATATCTCAAAATTCTGAGAAAAAAGTCAGAATTGCGAGAAAAAAAGTCAGAATTGTGAGTCAGACTTTATTTCTCAGAATTGCGACTTTATGTCTCGCAATTGCGAGTTTATATCACGCAATTCTGACTTTATTTCTCAGAATTGTGAGTTTATATCTCTCAATTATGACTTTTTAACTCGCAATTGCGAGTTGATATCACGCAATTCTGAGAAAAAAGTCAGAATTGTGAGATAAAAAGTCGCAATTACCTCTTTAATTCTTTATTCAGTGGCGGAAACAGGCTTCCATAAAAAGCAGACATTTTTGAAGACTCTTGCACTGTTCTTTTGATACAGCATGTTTATAGTGACCATCTTTTGTATGAGGAATAGACATTGGTCAGGGTAGCGTCTTATTTCATTTTTGACAGGAATGAAAACGAGGCTATGAGCGATAGAAGTACAGTGCATTCAAAGGATTGAACTATTGTTTAGCAACATACTGCTTGTTCAGCTGATAAATGCATAAAACAGTTTTCAAAGTTGTCACTTTTGAAAATTCCGCGATCTAGAACCTTTACACGGTGCATGCCATTGTAAAGACTGTAGTCTATCCCTCACAGCCTTGTTTTCATCCGTGTTAAATTCAATATGGCATCTAACCTGACTAAGGTCATATACAGTGCAAGTTTTGGAGGAGAAAATTATAAGTAAAAAACAACTTAAATTTCAGTCTGTTCACGCGAAGCTACTAGGGCTGGGTAAAAAATATTGATTTCTCGATTTTAATCATTTTACGAAACAGTATTGATTCTTAAATCCCAAGAATCGATTAGTCTAGCCTGTTTTCAGTTAATGAATGGAACATTGTAGAGCACCTCCCATCCAATAAATCACAGTAAGCTTTGTGCTTTGTCACTTTTGATATGAAACAAAGTCTCACATTTCTAATTCTGTCCATTTTATTAAAATATTCAAACAATAAATAGCGTTTTGGTGCTGTTTATTGTGGAGTGACAGATCGCTGTACCGACCTCAGTTCAAGAGAAAGCCATCTTACCAAAATCTGTATCCTGTCTCATGTAATCCCTCAATCAGTGTTTCAACCACGCAAAAAGACTGCAATGTAACAGTTTGCAAACAATATGTCACTTAACATCACATTTACCTCAGACCATAAACTGGTTAGTCAGCTAGAAAAATGAACTCTAGAGAGAAAAAATTTGCTAAATATATGCACCATATAAAATATTCATTATAATTTTTACTGTTCTTCAATGTTTAATTTATGTTTGAATAAATCCTTCAATTTTTGTTATGACAGCCATCATTTAAATGTTTATATTTCAAAAAACGAATTTGGAGTATAAATAATTGTGCAAGTGTAAATTAATCTAAAGTCTAATTTAAGCGTTTGTATGCAAATCAGTTAATTTACCCTTCAATATTATAGTAATGTATTACCAACAGACTCTCATGTATATTTTACAGCACTGGTTGAGAGATTATTTTTTTTACTTGAGAAAATTTAGCATGTCTACCTGATATATATCCAAAATAATATGTATCGAATTGAATCAGAAATCTACACGAATCGCAAGCTTGTCAATCAAAATGTCAAAGTGTCAAAATCTAGCCCAAGAAGCTACTTTAGAGGTTAAATGCAGTGTGGATGCCTTTAAAGTTTTTTTTTTTTTTTTTAGCCTTTTGGAGCACTAAAATGACCTGAGGGTGAGTAAATAATGCATTTTCATTTTTGAGTAAATATATAAAAGTTTGGGGTTGTTATATGTGCAGCAGTATTTCTTACATGCTCACATATCCCTTTAAGTATTTTTTTCTCTTCTTTCCAACTCTGTTCTTTTATTATACATTCCCTTTCCTTTTTTCCTTAAAGTTTTTTTTTTTTTTTTTAGCCTTTTGGAGCACTAAAATGACCTGAGGGTGAGTAAATAATGCATTTTCATTTTTGAGTAAATATATAAAAGTTTGGGGTTGTTATATGTGCAGCAGTATTTCTTACATGCTCACAGTAGCATGTCTGTGCATGTATATCTACAGCGGATCTAAATATTTATAATTAATTATAACTAGTTATGATTATTCATATTTCCCCATGAGCTGATTCGCTACAATTTGCAGTAGCAAGTCTCAGTACTACACAGCAACAGATATATTCTGACCAAACACATTAAAACACATTAACAATGCCATGAATATTAATATGCTAAACTTTCATGCCAGAAATATAAATCAGTAATACTGTAAAATATAATATCCTAAAATGCTGATTTGGTGCTCAAGAAACATGTATTATTATCATCAATGCTGTAAACAGTTGTTTTATGCTCAAACAGCAACATTACAGACTAACTAAAGTTGAAAAAGTGAAAAAGCATAATAGGACCCCTTTAATATATTTGTGGAAACTGTGATACATGTGATACATTCTTTATGTAGACAGTTTATCTGTTTAGAGTATAATATAGTATTCCCCATCCATGTCCCTAGCACATAAAGGGTGACACTGACTCGTTTTGTTGTCTTGTGAAAAGACCTGAAGGAGAAAAGGTATTTGGTGGGCTCTGAGCAGTAGCAGTCCATGTTGGAGAGGAGAATGACTCCTGGCTAAATGGAGGAAGTGATGCAGTAGACAGCAGAGTGGGCTGAAGCATGCTGGGACTGCCAGCACTCTTCTCATCCACAGCATCAACCAAGGAAGGTTCTGCCTTCGGAGACTCTTTCCTTGAATTTCTCTCTTTTCTGTCTGCCTTATATACACAGCGCTAATGTGTTTGATAGACCACTGTGCTCATGTGTGAAAAGTCTTGGAGATGATAAACAGCATCTGATACTGACTATTTAAAATGTGTTTGGGGACCATGATAACTGCTGGGGAACATTAAGTTTAAAAGTAAAATGTCACTTCATTGCGTAAGGTAACTAATTATGTAACATTCTTACTTTTCATGGCAAGAAACTCACTAGATACTTTTGCATGACTTTTTCTCAGAATCAGCCTAAGGGTCTTTTTCTTCCAAAACAGTAGCACTATGCTTGGTTTGCAAGCATTTCAAAGCGGTATGTTTTGTAGTTGAGGACTGTCTGTAGTGTGCACACCACAACTATACCCTTGTATGGACGTTGCACCGCTGTCAGTGTAGACAGCTTCACTGATTAGAACAGAAGCGTTCTAGTTTTGTCAAGTCGCATCATGCCACTTGCATGCTCTGTACACATGCCATCACACACACTGTACAGGACTGTTATGCGACAGGGAGAGGCTTTGGTTTCAATTGCATTTGTAGATAAGTTAAATAAACAGAAAAGTAATGGATGCTTTGAATTCATTACATATTCAATTAAAGGGCTCTTAAATTAAAAAAAGAGCTGCATGTTGCTTTTTAAATAACAGGCAGTGCATTTTATGAAGAGTTTTTAAAAGGGTGAATCTAATTGCATAAAAATAGTAAAATAAAGAAATTATAGAAAGAATAAAGAAATTGAAAGCAATATTGTGTAAATTAAAATATTATTGGGGTCTTACAAGGATTAAATAAGGTGTTACTTTTTAAGTGTTCCTAAAACCTTTAAATTAATTACATAAAAAGAAAGTTATAAAGTAATAAAATAAAGTAATGCTACTTAAAAAAAGATAAAAATAAATTAAAAACTACTGGGTTCGAATTTATTTTAATAAAAATTAAATAAACACAATAAGTAATGCATATCATTTGTTTGAAAAAAAAAAAAAAAAAAAAAAAAAAAAAAAAAAAAAAAAAGAAGTATGGTATAAATTCAGAAAATTATATGTTACTTTTTAAGGGCTCCTAAAAGCGTGAAATGAATTGCCAAAAAAAAAATAATATGGTGTAAATTAAAAAAATTGTTAGGTTCTTAAAAAGATCAAATGAATTAAATAAAGGAAATAAATACAAAATTCATGCATATTACTTGTTTGAAAAAGAGAAGTAGGTGTAAATTCATAAAATGTGTTTTTTTGGAGGGCTCTTAAAATTATTAAATTAATTAAATTTTTTTTGTGAAAAATCATTTACAAAAATCATGTAAATCAATGTAAATAAAAAAAAAAAACTATTTTGCTCTTAGGAAAGCATTAAATAAATTAAATAAAAAATTACTTTAGAAAAAAGAAGAGTACTACTTGTTACTTGCACTATAAATCAAACCACGCAACACATTATACTCAGCACTATCCATTATGGTACAAAATGGCATG